GGGTACCTATCGTTGCAATGAATGCGACAAATACTTCGTTTCGGAACCCATTCTTCACAAACACCATAAGAATCACAAGAGATATACCGGCGCTCAGTATGTCTGTCAGTGTCCTAACTGTCCGTTTGTGACGGCATTCGAGAAGAGTCTTCGACGCCATGAGTCGATCCATTCAGACGTCAGACGTTTTAAATGCGATGAAACCGATTGCCAGAAGTGCTTCAAAAGCAAACAGGACTTGAAGTCACACGTCATTCATATGCACCGCAATGAGCGACCATTTGTGTGCGAATGGCCCGGTTGTGGACAGGCGTTTAAACTCAAACAGTTGGTCACCGATCACCGGCTCATCCATCTAAATGAGCGCCAATTTAAGTGCGATATTAAGGGTTGTCTCAAGAGTTTTAATACGAGAAGTGTGTGGAGAGCGCATCGTAAGCGCCACGAACGCACCGGCAGACCTTTTGTGTGTCAGTGGCCGGGCTGTGAACGCACTTATAAGACCAATACTCACCTCAAGTGCCATATGAACAGCCATTTGGACGTAAAACCACACGAATGTCATTACGAGGGGTGCACTAAACGGTATTTCACGAAATTCGAGTTAAATCAACACATCTTGATAGTTCACAGCAAATCGCATGCAAACGACTATAAGTGTGAGTTCGAGGGCTGTGTGAAGGCGTTCCCCACTTATGACTATTTGGCGAAACACCGGCGCCGACACGAGAAGCGTTTGGCCTGCGATTGGGCCGACTGTGAGCGCCGGTTCGCCACCAAACAGGACCTCACGGACCACATGAACCGACACCAGAATATCCGAGAGATCTGTCCATTGAATGAATGCGCGAAAAGCTTTTTCGGAAAAAGTAATCTTTTGAAGCATATTAAATCGGCGCATAAAATGTGATCATTTATGTTATTATTGCCAATAGTTTACAATATTTTGTTAAGTTTTACTAGTACTGTAATACAATCTATTTATAATTTGTATTTAATAGCAATTGTTTGTAATTGAATGCTTTAGAAAATTAATAAAAATTGATTGTCAGTATGATTCAGATAATTATGAATACGGTACCTTGTTTTATTTTAATATAATTTTACTGAAAATTAAGTTTGAATTGAAATAAACAATTGAATAATACAGTACAGTATCTTTATAATTTAACCTTTTCAAGAGTTTTTCAATAAAATTTAAATATATCCNTACCTTCGAGTGAACTCTCTTTGGATCCATCCGTGTCTGTCAGTCCTCTCGGAGTGTTTGCCGTGAATTACCACTGAATTCGAGACTGTCTTCACTTCGATCTCTTCGGGTGTGAAGTGACTGCAGTCCAGACGTACGGAGAACTGGTCCGAAGTGTTGGCCACAAGTGATTCACCACTTCTTTGCACCAATTCTTTCGATTTGTGTCCTCTCGACGACCCTTCCATCCATTCCTCCGAGTCTTTCAAATCGAGTCCAAAGTGTTGTCCGAACACAGACTGCGGCCAATCCCAGACATCCCAATAGTTACGACCGCATCGGTGGGGAAAATACATATTCAATGCCATTGTTTCAGATTATACAGAATATAGGCTACAATTATCAGGATCAATTAGGTTTACTTAACTTTCAGTTATTAATAGCTTTTGAGAAAACTTTTCAAAAGTCTTTCACTGAACTGAATGTTTGTTTCACTGTCTGTTGAGTGCTTTATATATGCCGTGCAGTGAAGCACTCGAATCCTATAGAAATGTATGGAAATCTCTGGAATGTGTTGTGCAGTGAACACAACATTTCCAGAATGTTCTCCACATCTCTCTCATTGCAATGAATGCTTGAAAACAGTGTTTGTCTTCCAATCAATAAATTGCGGAAAAAGGGCTCAAAAGTAATGACAATCAATGGGTTAAACAACTTTTTATTTGACCCCAATTGCTTCAATTGTTTATTTCAGATCAAACTTACTTTTCAGTAAAATTACATTACCGTAAAATAAATTTACAAGACATTCATAATTACGGTATACCGTATACCGTAGTTTTATTTAAATTATATATTTTACGACTCCTTTGAGATTACATTTAAATGTTAATACAAATTATACAGAGAATAATATAAATATATGTCTTGATTAGGATATAGAGAACATTGAATCAGAATTAGTACACAATTATCGAGTGCTACGAGTGCTGTAGCGGAAGAGTAGCTTTTTGGCGCCGTCCACAGACACGGGTCGACACTCGCACACAGTATTGCCCTCATTATAGCGCTTCAAAACGTTCACCACTTCTATACTAATGCATGTCTTCAGCACTATCTTTATGTAACGAACCTTCGGGTCTGTAAACCATTGAATGAATTCATAAATCATTAAAACTATTGCTTAAATCACTAGAAATGGTGGCAAACCTTCAGCAATGGTGTCGAACTCTTCGCTATCGCTGGTCTCCTGCGCCGAATCGATCCAACTCTTGATCCCAAGACTGGCCTCATATAAGGGCAGTACAAATATGACGGGAAGTAATGGATCCAAACAGTAGAGCAGTTCCCGCATCTCAAGCCATTTGACGCAAATACTGTCGGTCGCCATGAGGTCTATGCACTCCATGCGAATCCGTTTGAGTGTAATTCCCTCTTTGTTCAGCTCTACCGTCCGACTCAGGCCTCGAAATGTGCCGAAAGTTATGTAATCGCAATCAATGGCCACCGACCGCACTGGGCGTCGGATGACTGGCACGTATTGACTCGTGGTTTGCACTTCGGGTGCCATTACTCCTTCGCATCCATCAGTGGACTCCTCATCCGTGGACTCGTCGTTGGGTTTGTTCATCAGTTTATCCAACGATTGCTTCAAAAGAAACTCGTTTTCGATCTTCAATTGAATCTCGTTCTCGAGTCTCGTGTTCTTGTCCTTCAACTTCTTGGACTGAATTTTACTCAATTCTAGCAAATGCTTGAATAAATTCATTTTCCTCTTCCACTCGTTCACCCGTTTCTCCAAATCCTTGCATTGGGTGTCCGACTCTTGGAGTCTGTCTTTGTATTGATTGCGATCACTGATCAACAGTTGGACGCAATCGTGTCCATCGAGTTGTCCCCCGAAACACATCCCACACGTCGAACACAAGCGATACAAACAGTTCTTCTCGTGAATCACCATTAGATCCAATTCGAGTACTTCGGGACAGCCTCTCGACTCGTAACTGCATTTCATCTTCATTTCGCTGACCATTGAATTGATCTTAAGGTTGTACTCGAGAACAAAGCCACCGATAATGAAGAGAGTGTTGCTGTCGATGGCGAACCCAATGGACCTCTTTCTGGTGGATAACGGGTGCCGACACTCCGGACAGTCGTCTTTATGGCTGCAAATCCAGTCTCGGATACATGTCCTGCAGAAAGTGTGTCCGCAATCGTTGGACACGGCTCTGTCGAAGATGTTAAGACAAATACAGCACTTGAGGTGTTTGGCCAAGAAGTCGGACAGTCCTTCAAAGCGGTTCGTCTCAAAGCCCGGCATTTGTGTCACAAAAGTGTCCCAAACTTTTAGCCACTGATTGCTGTCAATAGAAATCAAATGCAATTCAATTGAATACACGTTTTGATTGCAAAACACAAACACTATTGCATTGAATGCGTGATTAATATGACGCTAACGTTATGTCACATACAGTGAGCCTATGTTTCCATAGAAACTGTTGTGTTGTTTGCAAACAACTATTTATGCGTTTTTTCATTTCATTTGACGGAAGGTTTGTGTCTTCATTTGAAACGTGAGGCAATGTTTGCGAAGAACTTCTGTGATATTTGGGACCAAATATGATGTCAGATGTGAGACAATTGGATGCATTGAATGCGCAAAGTAATAGACTTTTAAAGACAAACCAATTGTGTATTGAATTGATTGTCAAATACAGACACCATTTGATGACATTTAACAAGAGATGCATTTGTGGTCAAAACAGTGATAATAGCCT